GGTAAAATTTTGGGGGAAATCGTGGGGTGGTCATGTAAACCGTTGCTGGTCTTAAATACGTTTCCTCTACATGCATTTGGAGCAATCTCATTCCAACTGAAATGGAATGTACATATCCTCTACAAAATTCAACACCAACAAAAAGCTTTGTCAAAATCCACACCTACTGGTACTTCTACCTTGCATCAGAAATTTATTAGATTTAAAAACTATAGATGATGATTGACTAAGAACACAAAAGCTATCAAGAGGAGACCCAGACAAAAAATATGAATAACATGTTGCTACAAAGCAACAGCATCAACATCAATGCTTGTGTCTAAACGAATCTTATCTGATATTTTCAAAATGCACTGCTGACACGAGACATTGAAAATGATGTCAAATGAGACTCTTCAAAACATTTTTGTTTTGTTAATCCCTACAATTTTGCATCAACAATAAGTGTTCTGAGATTGTGGTAGTATACATGTACATACCATTATTAAAAGAACTTAAACCTAAATTTCAAATGGCAAGGATAAAATTGAGTAAGAGGTGACCACAAAGTGGCAAAGGTCAGGTTTGAAACACAGAGGTGATAACTATCCCACACTCAACTCATTAGTACAAATACACTGAATTTAACAGAGCACTAAAACTTCAAAAATATATAAAAGTAAAGCAAAAGGTCACATTTTAAAATTGCTCGCATTAATTCAAATGATCTTCCACCTTTGGCACAATTCACATTAAATTCTTGACATATCCAGAAAATTTTGAAATTTCTGAGCAACAAACAATCTTGATAACATCCCTAAAATGCGAGAATAACCAATAATACCACCAGACTAGTTAAAACAGTCAAAAGCAAATGTGGTAAAGTGAACTCAAAGCTGATGAGATGAGATTAGATCTTAAGAAAAAATTGAGTTGGAAATATAAAAGTCTCTTTTAGAATCATAAAGTTAAAAATTTTACACCAATTAGGTAAATTCAGAGTCAGGTGGTCAAAGGTCACATCAAAGAGAGAAATACAACATAAAAACATTGCATCTGGTGCATCAATACTAAACATTCAATGAAGGCTCAATAGATAGCATTTTTAAGAGTCTACCCACGAGACTTGACTCTCAAAACGATTGAGGTAAATGAATGAGCACTCTCCGCTCCATGGAATGATGTTACACTATTATAAAATGCAATTTAACCTCACAAGCTTTTTCATGGGTGTTCGTTAATGACAGCAGTCATTAAACAAAACAAGAGGTCCACAATTATACGTCATACTAAAACATGTTAGGATAGAAGAAAACATGGAAGTTCATTCATTATCATTAATATCAAATTAACTAAAAGTCCTAAAATGTTTCATTTTATACCAACAACACACAAATATGCCCAATCAAAAAACGACCTATTAAAGGTGCTTATTTTTTGCGAGGGGATTTGTCGTACGCCACAACAATGGGTTTCCCTAGTGTGGCGTAAACCAAGCCTCAGGAGCTTGGTGTAGGAGACCTTTGTCACAGTTGTTGGTCGCGTTGTGGAATCCAGATTGTGGAACCAGAATTTTGGCTGATAACTTCTTTGACTTTCAAATAAATTTCTTCAGGAGTATCACCCTGAACAATGGCTAGAGATGGAAGGACCAAAACAGTCATAAATAGTTTGTCAGCAGCAGCAGCACCACCATTGACTATTCAACCATTTGCAACTTACCAGTGAAATATTCTCCAAATTCAGACTCCATCTTGAATGCCCGTTCTATTGTTTTACGAGCCTGTTCATATGACATTCGTTTGTTCATCTCCCTTCAAACAGAAAAAAAAAGAAGTTTTAATTGGTAACTATCACATGTAATCATCATGAGAGCATAATCATCTAAACATCAACATACATGACTGACTCCAGCGATTTAGGTTTAATAAAAATAGCAATAGGGTACAACTGTGCAACTTGTAGACGTTTAATGGCATTGCCACTAACATCTAGGATGCAGTGTTTTCCCTGAAAAAGACAAATAACACATTTTTACAGAACTTATAACATGTCCATAAACAACACACTACCAACCAATACAACCTATACCAAAAAACTTGTTAGGAAACCAGCTGAATACTTACACTTTCGGAGACTTCTCTTACTGACTGCACAGAAGTACCATACAAGTTTTCATTATACTGTCCCGCTTCAATGAAAAGATGGTTTTGTATATCTCTCTCCATTTCCTCTCTGGAGCTTACAAAATGATAATCTCGGCCATCAACTTCATGTTCTCTCATTGATCTTGTAGTATCTTAAGACAGAATAAAAATTGACAAATAAATTTAACCTAACCTAAGGCATATAGGAAGGCATTTGAGTTATACTGATGTTGACAACTTACGAGGAACACATGATCCAAACCTATCTGGGAATTCAGCTATAAGGTCATCATTGATACGATCCTTCAGTGGGCCCAAGATGATGACAGGACGAGTGTACTGGATCTTTTGTTGCAGCACAGGTTCATAAGACAGGACTTGCTCCTCTGTTCCTGCGCCAGAGGCACAACAATATTAGAAAAATGCACCATAAGAACAGACCATAATTACCAATTGTTAATCACACATTATTGAACTCCAAGAAAACAGGGTACTACAGTAGTAAGGTTTTAAAGCTTTCTTTCAATGAATATAAATCAAGAATTTAAAGAGCAAAAGTAAAAATACTGTCCTTGTAAAATTGATAGTACTTGTTTAAGATATCTATAACAATGAGAAAGGTATAGCAAATAAAGATGTTCTAAACAAGTCTGGAGGAACTTAGCAAAGGAAATTGAGCTAAAATAGTGCACGTAAGACACACAGAGTAGAAAAATTTCATGCAAGTAGGTAACATGACAGTTACTGTAATTCAAAACGTGATTAATTGGGAGAGTGGAAGAAGGGGACAACAGCCAATAATTGATTAAAGTCAAATGATAAATTAGCCCTAAGCATTTAAACTGATGCCTTTATCTTGACTTGTCGTCTTATTGAGAAACAAGAACACATATTTGGTAATTTAAATTTTCTCTTCGCACAAAAAGATAACATAGATAGGAAATTGTTTGTTTTCACATTTGTACATCAGTCTGTAGTGTGGCTTTACATAATAATGGGGAAGTTTGTATCTTAGAACTGCAATTAATGAATGTTTAAAACATTTACAAGAGTTTGACTTATTGAACTATCGAACAATTATTATTAAACACTATGAGCATAACACTAAGTTTTTTAATAAATATCTAACTCTTGTCTGAGCTAAAAACGAAACAGAAATAAACAAACATTCTAATACTTTAACTTTAGATACCTAACGTAATGTTTATCTAAAATCTTCAGTTGTATTTTGAAATCTCAAAAACCCCTACTAGGTGCTAAATAAGCATTCTGTCTCACAACTGTTGCAGTAGGTTAAAGTTAACACACACTTTTAGGTACTGTATTAAATAAGAATACAAATGTAACTGTCTCTTTTTCGTCCATGAAAATGTGTAGATCCAAATACCGAAAGAGTGTGCAGACAGCCAGCTCTTTTAAATTGGTACAGCTCAGCAGCTTTAGAACTATTTTTCTAAGACAACAATCATGCAAGTAAGATTAGCATATCATCTCCTTTGAAGAAGTTTTAACCTCTCTTCAAAAAAGTCAGCAAATATATGGCTTACTACCAATCTTCATGAGCACAACTCCCAATAGTGGTGCTCAGCTCACTTTTATCATATCAACATTTCTCAGTTAGTTAAATTGTAATGATTACTTGAGTTATAAGAGGGGAATTACAAATTTAAGTACAGGTTAATCAAACTTTTCAAGGGAATAAGAAGAAATCCACCCTAATCATTCAGAACAAGCCTACACACGTCTACAGTTAAAACAAAGCATGGAACATGGGACCAGCTTGTCCTCAAGTAAACATGACGAAAAAAACCACAACTAGGAATTGATGGAAGGAGAGGAATGGGGAAGCAGTGATGCGGCTAACGCACCACAGCGCACGGACAGCAGCAAGAAAACTGGTGAGCTGAGAGCACGGTCAGTGCAGCGAGCAGAATGCAAATAACATTCGGAGAGAAAGAGAGCCTTACCGACAAGAAATTCAATTGGATAAATGTTGTTTATGGTTATACCTTCAGATGTTGCCTCTTCTTGTGCATAGCAGAGCATGAATGCTGAAACAGAGATGAAAGCGCAAATTACAAGTGTGACTTCAGCAGCATTTGATAGATAAATAATTTGAAACATCATGCTGGCCACTGAAGAAAGGTATGATGAGTTGTGTGGCTCTATTCCATGAGAGGCTTTATTAACATAAATTTTAAGCAAATACATGTATGAAACGTTAATTTTGCAAAAATAAAAACCAGAAAGAAAGTAAATTGTGTGTGCATTTCATACAAAGCAACAATCACATTTTCAATTTTAATTCTTTAAAAAAGGGCAACTCAAACAATTAGAAGAAAGGGAAGTCATATGTCTGATAAATTTGAAATGCAGAAAATTTGTGTGATTTATTGTGCTCATCATCAATACTGCAGCAAATTTAAATTGATTTCTTTATGATAATCAAATAAATGTGGCTATCAGTATAGCCAAAGGCCCCATTTAACCTCTGACCAGCAAACCCGCTACAGACCTTCAACTCAACTACAATTAAACTCAAATTGTATTCTACATGCTCATTTCATGCAAAATTAAAGCTGCAGAAAGCAGCAGGTCTAATCAAGCAGGAATTGTCTTTTATTGAGATTGAACTTGCCACAACATTGTAGATGTAAGTCTGGAGTTAATAGAACTCAGACAAGAGACAAGTCGCACTGAACCATTCACAAAACATTTCTGTTTTTGATGAAATAATGATGCATTAGAAGGGAAAATTTATGATTGTTAATTACGTTTCCTTTTTATTTTAATAAGGTTGTAGGATTAAACCATAACAAAGTTTGCTTGATGATTTGCATGAGGGTAAACAGCAGCACACATATTCAAAATTTGAGCTTGAATTAAAATTTTAGTTTTTTTAAGAAATGTAGGAAATTGTTTGATGTGTCAAAAAATGAAGAGAGCTTTGGTATAACTGAATTATGTAGCAAAAAATCATGCACCAATGGAACACAAGTTTTGGCACTCGGAACACACCCAAAAATAAAAATTTAAAAAAAAACAAACAACCCACAAGAGTGTGTGACAAGAAAAAAATAGGGGAACTACTCACGGGCGTTTGTTGCGTCTCCCTCACTGTTAGGAGTGGAAGGTGAAGCTATTGGGGGAGGCAGAAACAAAAACGTTTTGGTTTGACATTTGACAAGGCAAGCAATCACTACACAACACAGGGGAGGGGAAGCAGATCAATGACAGCCTGACTTAATGCAGCGAAAAATTTAGCTGTAGAAGTCTTGATTTATATCATTCCAACGTGCCATGCTGATCTGCCTGAGCATAAGCATGGCAATAGACATGCATGTCCACATTTACATTTAAGACATGTAGGTGGAAACATGAAAGAAAAAGTGTTTCACTTCACAGATTGATTTGAAAAAAAAAAAAAAAATTGTTTTCAAAAATAGGGGTAATTTTTTGTAGATTAATATGCTTCCGAAGCTTGTGTTGTTCAGGGTACAAAACATTGGGATTAAAAGGTAAAAATATATTTGTGATGGAGAAAACAACAAAAGGACAGGTCAATCAATATAAAAAGAAGTGTTGGGCTAATGAAAGACAGCTTGCATGCAAAGGGCTGCAACCTCTGCCAGCAAAAACAGCAGCTAGAGTTAGTCCAACCAGAGGTCTGTGGGGACCTGCACTTCCAAAAAAAGACTCATGTAAAAGTCCGTAAAATAATGAAACCAGAATATGACGAGCTTTAGGAAAAAAAAATCCTACAGGTATTGGAAAGTAAAAAAAGTAAGAAATTAGTATGCTCATCAAGGTACTTAAGAAGGAAACCCTAAGTAATAAAATACTGAAAACTTTTAAAAACGAAAGTTAGTCTTGTACTTGTATACAAACAGATGATTTTAATTGAAAGACATCTTATAAACTTTCACAAACAAACTGATCAGCAAGTGCACGAAGCGGTGCACAAAAGAAAAGAATGGATGCCCCCATAAAACATTAAGCACCACAGAAAACACAAACACACAGTAACCAACCATATAGATATGGGAATGTGCACTTCCTTTAAACATCTTTGTCGGAAAGAAAGGGAAGAAGAGAACCACAAACAGGATGGCAAACAGGAGAGGGGGGGAAGAAAAATCATCATCTACACTTACGTTCAGCGTCCGAACCATCCTCAGATTTATCATCCTTACTCTTCATAAACGGAAATTTACGACTGAAACTGAAATTCTTCTTCTTCCGATCCAATGTTGATTGCTGGAAACAGGGAAGATCCACACACACACACACTTAGACATTTAAAATAAAAAATTAATACATTTTGTTTTACTATTATTATTATTTTTCAATAACCCATACCTTGTCTATGAGGACGGGCATGTGCCCCTGGAACTTGACGGTGCGGTCGCGGGCGCGCTGCTTGCGCTCCCAGCGGTGCCGGCTGGGGATGATGCCGATGCCCTGCTCCTCGCCCGTGGCCACCACCACCCGCCGCGCCTGCCACCACTCGTCGTCGCTGGCGTTCACCACGTGCAGGATGTCGCCGTAGTGGAAGGGAAGGCCGCGGCTCGGCAGGCCGTCGTCCTTGTTGGGGTCGTAGTCAAACATGGCCCTGCACGGAAAAAGAAACAAGTAGCTAAGTTGGACAAGAGTTTAGCTAAGTCAGAAAAACATTTAGTAGCTCAGTTTTGGCTTAACATTTAGCGAAGTCGGCTAAACGTTTAGCCAAGTCGGCTAGACATTTAGCCAAGTCAGCTAGACATTTAGCTAAGTCGGCTAGACATTTAGCTAAGTCGGCTAGACATTTAGCTAAGTCGGCTAAACATTTAGCTAAGTCGGCTAAACAATTAGTTAAGCTAGCTAAACATTATGTTAAGTTGGCCATCAGTCTAAAAACATTAATCTGTGAAGCTAAAAAAGTTAGAGCCGTGTGGCTAAACATTACAAAAAAATTAATCATCCCGTATTTAACTATTGGTTTAGTTATAAACCTAATCATCTTGATCAGTATGAAGATGGAGGGGAAATACGTTGACATGAGACAAACGAAAACGATATTAAAAAAAAAATATGCAGAAGTTCAACAACTTTCTATGGACTAGGTCGTCCGTTCATTTCGGTTTTGAGAACGCAGTCGAATTTGACAAATATCCCGTGTGTCAGAGCTAAGACACAGCAGTGTTGCGGGTTTGAGTACCCTGGCCGACCTCGCGCTCTGACTGCTCTGAAACAGCTGAAACACGGGTGCACCGGCTCAAGCCTTTGGCAAGCACAGTGGGTGGTGGTAGCTGCGAAAATGATGGACGATGACGCACGACAACAACGTCAACATTTCGGAAAGAAACGCATGAAAAGTCAGTTTCAAGCGGCAACGGCAGCGCGATGTTTACCGAACGAAGAGCGAGCGCTTCTGAGAGGTCCTGAGGAGGGTGCCGCCCGTGGGCGCCGTCTGCTGCGACATCTGCTGCTTCAGCTCGTGTATCTTGGCCTCGAAGCGGTTGTACTCCTCGGGCCTGAACTGCACCACGAGGTTCACGGTCTGGCCGGCGCTCTGGACAAAGGAGAAGGGCAGACACGTCAGCACTAGAAAAATAACTTAAACAAAATAGTTCCCTTGTAAGAAAAAGTTAAATAAGTGTCTCGTGATTTTTTAAAAATATTTTAAAAAGGATTCTTGGTAGAAAAAATTAAAATAGTTTTTTTAAAAAAGGTCAAAAAAAAGTTTTGAAATGTACATTTTTTTAAAGTCTCCTGAAAAATATATGAGAGAGAGAGGTCTGAGGTGCGCACCTTGAGGGCTTGCGCCGCGTCCTCGTGGCTGGCCGCCTTGAGGTTGACGCCGTTGACGCTGACGACCTGGTCGCCGCGGTGGAGTTGGCCGCTCAGGTCGGCGGGCCCGCCCGCCAGGATGAACGAGATGAAGATGCCCTCGCCGTCCTCGCCGCCGACGATGTTGAAGCCGAGGCCGCCGTCCGTCTTGGAGAGGCTCACCTCGCGAGGCTCGCTGCAGTCAAACAACAGGCAATGCAATCAAAAATACTTTGAAATTTGGGTAGTGTGGAGTGGGCGCCCCGCAGTCTAGGACGACGAGTCGGTCACAGGTGGGCTCGCACGTGGGATATTTGGCGGAGAAAACAAATTCCCGCAAATTCTCGCGCGTCCCCGTCTTCTAGCGGAAACTGTGATCGATAAACAGCATAACAGCGACTCTGTGTGAGCGTGTGCGTGCGCGAGGCGCATCCTTCAGCACAACGACGCACACACACACACACTCGGCCAGCGTTACCGATATTCACCCTGAGGCTTCTTTAATATATAACCACCATGACCATGAGAGCAACCACAGAGGAGAGACAAGAGCAGGAAAAATAAAAAAACACGTTGTATCGCTGATGTACGAAACGGTGAGGAGAGAGGCACCCGCCCACCCGGGGGCACCACCGCGCCGCGCGCGCGAGAGGGGGCGCGGGGGGCGGTGGGGGGCGGCGCCGGGGGCCGGGGCACACACCAAACGCGGCGGGAGTGAATGCCATAGCCACGGCCAGCCAGCCAGCAAGCTCGTGCGCCGCAGCGTTGCCCCAGGAAGCGTTGTCCCAGGAAGCAAACGCACACACGTACACACGGACACACACGCAAACACATGCACGTTTTGGTTATTTCGTATTTGGTAATTGATTGAACATTCGCCCCTATTCATTAAAGAATTCCCCCCCCACCTCCCTCCTCTTCTGACCACATGCAACACGAAAACGTCGCTCTCTCTCGTGCTCTACACCCTATACTGCTCAAACTCTCCTACTGTATCGGTCTCACCCCGGCGGCTATTCCTTTGAAACTTTCAAACATTTCACATATTTCGAGGCTCCAATTAGCGCCGCCAAACGGGCCAGTCCCCCCCCCCCCCCCAAGCCACGCGACGCAGTGCGCGTCACTGCAATTCCACTATATTGCAATTTGAAAATAATTTATGGCACCGGAGCGCACGAGGGCCAGGGCGAGTGAGGGCAAGGGCGAGTGAGGGCAAGGGCGAGTGAGGGCAAGAGCGAGTAAGGGCAAGAGCGAGTAAGGGCAAGAGCGAATAAGGGCAAGGAGGAGTAAGGGCAAGGAGGAGTAAGGGCAAGGAGGAGTAAGGGCAAGAACGAGTTAAGGCAAGAACGAGGCAGAAACACAGCAGTGTAGAGACATTGAATCTGCTCATCAGGGACCCACGTGTCAAAGTGGGGCGCAAGGGGCCGGGGGAGCATAGAGCTGCGCGCTTAACCCGAACGTTGATCGGCAATCCTCCTTCCTCATCAAAAACTGGATGTCAAAAACAGGAAACCTGTTTCTTTTTAATTCTTTTTACCTTTAGCCACACGGACAAGAAGAGTGAGGGGAGACTCAGTTAAAATATTAAGAGGGCAGAGGAAAGCATCACAAGAGCGAGAAAAATGGGCGAGAGGGGGCGACAGAGCGCGAGGGGTTACAGTCCGCACAGACTTGCGCGACAGTGCACTTGCGCCCTTGAGGTTGTCGGCGAGGGCGGCGGGGGGGCGGAGCGGGGGCGGAGCCTACCGCTACCCTCACGCTAGGCAGGCGCAGGCGAGTGGCGGCGCCTCGCTGGAAGGGCGCAGTGGGCGTGGTCGGAGGGAAGGGGGAGGGGGAGAGAAAGAGCAGTATAGAGACGGCTGACCGCGGTCTTACGACGACTTCGGACGGGCATATCAGAGCGCGAGGGAGGGATGGAGGGATGGAAGGAGCGAGGGAGCGAGGGAGGGAGGGA